TCTTTTTTCCTCTTGCTTATTTTCATCCTTTTAGTCATTCTATATTTTTTGCGATTTTTTCGTTATTCTATATATTTGCCTGTACAGTCGAATTTTACCGTCTTCGATACTTCATGAACTTTTTTCTAGACTATCGGAGGTTACCTATACGGTTGAATGATGTAACTCGATCCGTGTTTTTTTTATAAGGACGAATAAAATGGGACCTTTTCAAGTATAAAATAATCAGTCGAATTTTGAAGTTATGGTGGATTTCAAAAACTGAATTGTCTGGTTTTCCTGGCCAAAATTCAATCTGAGACTTGCAAAATTTCAATATAGATTGCTCCGAAATTTTTTCTTACAAGAATGAATTTCAGTGGGCAAAATCATCGCATCAGCGGCAATAATGTGTGGAGTGCTAGTGTTAGCCTTGCCGATCACAATCATCGTCGACAATTTCATCAAAGTGGCTCAAGACGAACAGCAAGCCGAACAGGCTAAGCTCGACCAAAGCAGGCAAGAACTCGCCATTCAAGCGATGCTGCACGGTGATGAAGATTAGCGCTCCCACTTCTATTCAGCTCTTACACTTACTGCTATTAAATTCTGTTTTTTCTTATTGTTTTTCGTTTGATTTGGAACTTGGCCCGTTTCCAAGAGTTAATACGAGTATATCAGTTGTATAGGTATCTTTTCTCTTACTCTTTGATTTTTGATGAATTGTAATCTATAAGATTATGCATTTTTCATTTTTTTCTACGGTGTGAATGAAGAATAGTTAGGAAAGTGTATGTATGCGAGTTCAAAAAATCTTCACTTTTCATCTCACTACGTCGTAGATTCCCTAGTTAATCTATAAGTAATTTGTTCCGACGTGGGATATCTTTGTTGACATATCAGGAGTAATAGACATAGGTTTTAGATGCTCTTTAGATGCTACCAAAATCATTTCAATTTTTTTCGTCAAGAACTCATTTAGCCACAGCTAGCTCACCCGGTTCTATTGTGATTGCTCTCCTCTCGAAGTCAGTTATATATGCACTTACAGTTTGAATTGTTAAATAAAGACTATATGTATACTTACCAGTTACTTCGCACTTGTACAAACACCCTTCTCATTCACTAAGTAAACCGATGTCGTACCTGAGAATGTGAGTCGCAACTTTACAGTCTCTCCTTCATCATAGACAAGCACCGAGGTGTATCGATCTGGTCGGTTGATTTCCGGCAAAGTATCCACTTGTAGCTTGAATTTATGTTCCGAGGTGCCAGCTACGTTTCGCAGTAGGATCTGAAATATCAAGTTTACAAAAGAGATTATAATTTCAAGAAGCAGACATTTTATTTCTCAACGCCAAAAAAAGTATCTAGCGAGAATTAAAGCTTATGCCACTTATAAACTTTTGTCAAAGACTTCCTGGTCGGGTTTTCCCAATTTTGAAAATTAGGAGTTTCTTGTGAAATTTTGTATTTATTTGTAAGCGAGCGATTACGCGCATCCATAGCACCCAATCAAATACATACAAGCGGGTGCTTTGCAGAAGAAAGTGCTGATTTGCAAAGGGCTTCGAGTGTCCTTCCAGAGATGTTCATTACTCGAGTCAAAGAAGTTGTTCCTGCATACCACTTGCATAGATTAATGAATTAGTGGATCAAATCACTCCGAAGTTTCTCATTTTTTCCACCAAACTGAAGTTGATACTAAATCAATAGCTAAGTGCCCTTTGTTTTTCAGAAAAATTAACAAGCCTTTGAACCCACTTGTTTTCTGGGGTTTGTCAATAGAAAACTCTGTCCATACGGAATTTGCACGTTTCGTTTTGAATTTTTGCATCAGCATGAGCATAATTTCCAGCTGCGTGACAAAAAGTGTATGATATTAGATTTTGCATTTTCATAATTCATAGTCTAGTTTAACATTGCTCGTCGAGAAGCAAAGTGCACCTCTTTGGGCTTGTTTCACATTAAGGTGTTTTCCGAATGTAGTTCAAACACACGTGACATCCTACGAGAGATTTGTATCGCAAGTAATCAAGTTGCGCGGCAAGCAAAGCATCTCCCATGTAAAATTCATTTCAAAGATTTGATTTAGTGATTTTTTATGTCCGCCCTAAAATGATCTGAATAATCATGGGATTTAAATCAGCAAACTAGTTTGGGGCAGGAGGATGCTGATATTTCTAATCGAATTGTAATTTTTTTTTGCATTTTTCTTGGCGTTTTTTGTTCGTCTAAAATAATAAAAAGAATGATGCAGCGGTAAAACGAATGGTTTTGGAAATTCCAATCCACAATTTCTTTACTTTCAAACTTAGAAATATGCATGATTTTCAAGTTAAGAGATGCTGCAAAAACACTTGCATGTTTTTTATTCCCGATACTTCAGATTACGCCTCCTCGCATGCAGTCTGCTAGATGTAGGATTCTAAAGGGTGCGTGTGCTCTCTCAAACAGCTTTAAAGGTTCAAACCTTAATTATTCGCGTGGTCATAACTATATTACCAGACTGCGAGGCGGTTGTTTTTCTGTTTCCAGTGGATGCATCAAATTCTCGGTGTTACTTTACATGTTACAAAACAACAGTGAAATTTTCTGCATTACAAAATGCCAAGTCCAATTTTGCTGTGCATTTGATATCTTCAGCTGTCTAGAAAAAAATGACCTATTGAATTTGCACTGTAAATGTAATAGATTGGACAATTTCTTTCCGTCCTATGTGTTCCATAAAAAGCTACTCACTGAATAATCTCCTTCATCATCTTCTCGCGTATCAGCGATATTGAAAGTTGAAACGCCTGGCGCAGTCTCAATCCACAGGCGCTGTCCAGAAAACATTTCCTGAAATAGTTTTCATTTTACTATGAGTATAACGTGACCTATTTTTGAACTAA